CCAAAATCTTCCCCAGAGGGCCATAGATATTTTTAAACATATCATAAACCGGTCCGCGGCAAACTTCGAGAAAGAAATAATTACAAAAATTAACGAAGAATGAATAAACACAATTAAAAACTAAGAACTAAGAGCACTGAATACAAAAGTTTTTTAAAAATTTATTTACTCATTCTACGTTTATTTTTGAAATTATTATTTTTTCTCGAAGTTCGCCGCGGACCCGGTTTATGATATGTGGGGGGGGCTTTCATAGTAGGAACTGCTCCTTCTGGAACAGCTTGGATTTTTCCTTCTCTAACTGCTGCTCCTTCTAACTTCTCTTGGAAGTGCACTACCTATTTGTGTCATTCTCATTGATCAGTTATATACTCCGTTATTCACTTAGTTATTTACTCACTTACTTATGGAGTACTCTGAGGAAGCATGGAATTTCTCCATCACCTGGAGAGCGCCGAAATGGAATTGATGAGTGGAAGGACAACCTTCCGATGAGGACATTACTGATGACAAGCCAAATAAAAAATAGTCTTCAGATGAAGCACCTCAGCAGGATTCAGCATGCTCAAATTGTACAAGTCTCGATACGATGATACGGAAGAAGTTGCAGGGTCAAACAGCCAGCGAAAGTGGATTATATAAAAAGCTTAAGACAGCTACTTAGATTGGGAATTTATAGAGGCTGGTCAAGCTCAGTGAGTGATTGCGCTAAAATCCTTCCAAACGGATCAATGGTTCCAGTTAAATTGCGTCGTCATTTTGAGGGTACACTTCCAGAACTCCTGTAGAAATAACTGTTTTTTCAGGACAAAGTCCACAGAACTGGCTTGTTCTCTAACTTCAATAAAACGCATGCAAAAACTGTTAATGAAAATTCACTAAAAGCTTCTTACATGATAAGTTATCGAGTGGCACAGGCAGGTAAAGCTCATACAATATCTGAAACCCTCATAAAACCGTGTGTAAACGGTATCATGCATGCTTGTTGAAAAAACGGTAAAACTTAAATGTTCGGTGCTATTATCAAACAATACTCTCAAAAGATGGATACTTGACTTATCAAATGATATGAAAGAATTGCTGGTTTCTCGCATCCACACAATTCATTTTCTTTTCAAATCGACGAATGAACTGACGTATTTTATTGGTTTTTGTCCGTTATGAATAGTCGGGATGTTTCGAGGAGGATCTTCTCTTGTGCAAACCATTTCTTGCTTCTGCCAATGCAACAGGTGCCGAAATAATCAGTTTGTTGGACGATTTCTTTACAAATAACGAAATTCCATGATCTTATTGCATTGACGATTGCACAGATGGTGAATAAAATGACTTGCCGAACGATCGTAGTGATTACTAAAATAAAAGGTGAACCCAAGGAGTGCATCAGCAGTCATTGTGTTCTCCACACAAATGGTTTACCTAAGAATCAAATGCCAGCCTCTTTTAAGAAAGTTTAGGATGAGTGTGTTCAAATTATTAATTATATCAATTCGAGGGAATTGAAGTCAAGACTTTTCACAATATTATGTGACGATATGGGAAACCTTCATCATTCCCTGCTTCTCCAAACAAAAGTGAGGTGGCTGTCTCGTGGTAAAACACTTTCACGATTACAGGAATTAGGTTCTTAAGCCTGTGATGATGGACCCCAACTTCAAATTGGCCACGTTTTTTATGATGAGAAACGGCAATGTATACTATAGTATTTATGAGATATTTTCAAGAAAATAAATGAGATGAATCTTTTTTGCAAGGGAGGAGTATCACAACTTTTGATGCTAATGATAAAGTTCGCGCTTTCAAAAGAAAAACCCTATTTCGGGTTGTCTCTGTTGAGAAGGAAGAGGCGGAGTGTTTTCCTGTGTTAAATGATTTTTAAAAGGAAACAAATTGGAGCTTGCGAACGGCTCGTTGATTGATAAAATATGTGAACACCTTCGAAGTTTGGAGATGTCCTTTGAACACTACTTCCCAACAGCTCCATATACAATACTTCAAGACCATGAATGGAGTGGTAAGTTTCGACAAAGCCAACCGGTCTATATTCAAGTGAAGATGATTATTTTATAGATATCACTTCAGACTCTACCTTGAAATCTACTTTCGAGTCAGGTACTTAGCTCCATTTTTAGCTTCGTTGAAATAGCAAACCTTGTTCTTCTTCAATTTGCCACAAATTACCTATGCGAATTCGAATATTATACAGCCACCAAAACTAAATACCGAAGCTGTCTAGGTGTGTACTCACAACTTTCCCAAATTGTGCAGGTTAAAACAATCTCGCTCCCATTATTTCATTAATCATCAAATTATTACTTTTGAATTTGTCTCTAGTTTTTCCTACCTATGGATTCCGTTCTGTCCAATTTGATTTTTATGTTCCGGATTTTATAAATAAAGTTAAGAATATCAATCTAATATTTGTTTGCGTAGTGTTATCCCCATCCAGCACCTCATTAGGAACGGACCGTCTAATTTATAAAACTTTAATTTGCTACATAATGTAGGTATCTAATTTTAAGTACTTGAATGAGAGGAGTCCGCCCAGGATTTTGTTCTATGAAAAGGGTTGGCTGACTAAAAAGTTTGGGATGTCCTACTGTACACATTCGTCATCCTTAATCCTACTTGGCCGACAGATACTTTAGAGTATAGGTCGGATTCTCAAACTTTCCTTTGTACAGGGTGGACGCGAGAGACCCTCAGGGTATCGTCCTCAGCCTGATAATGTACTCAGTATATACTGCTGATATCCCCTCCTATAACTAACATAACATACTTCCATCCTCTCTTTCCGAACACGTCATAGCTGACCGAACCCTCTAGACACATATATCATCCGCTACCTAGGCGCTATCTAGACAAACGACTTATCTGGAATCCAATACACGACTTAAAAATAAAATAGAACGGAACGGACGATTACATAAAACACTACTAAACAATAGATCTAAACTCTCCACTGACTATACAACTCAATACAAAAACGAACCAATACAGGCATATGGTATAGAACAATTGGACTCAACCAAACCTTCCAATCTCTTCAGAATATAGACAGTACAATCATAAATTCTTAGATCCATCGTCAAAGCCACGTTCTATATTTCCAATAGCGATATCCATAACGACCTAAATGTTGCATTTTTAAATGACATTGCAAAATCAGCTACAAAAAATTCCACATTAACTTCCATCTCCACTCCAATACCCATGAACAACAACTTGTGCGCAGATTATTGCTCAGTTAATCACAAGGAAGAGAAAGAAAGTCTATTAGAACACAGTATAAATTAATTATGTCATTTATTATTTTCATACTCATTTGTCGTATGCCATCACGTTTAAAATGTTGAAGTCGTTTATTATTTCTGACTAAAACTTTAAATTGTCATTGCTTGTTTGTTTTTTGTTAACAAACGATTTACACAAATGAAAAATAAGATGTAAGTATGGACAAAACAAATGAACCTGCGTGTGACAGGTAGTTCACTTTTCCTTCCGATAAAATCGTTTCTTATTTTACACAACAACAAAATCCCTTCCTCAAGTATTAAACTTAGAACTCAGTAATAAGAATACTACAGGTTTTCATTATCAGGGAACTCAGCAGATATTTAGCGGGAACTTGAAGAACAAAACCGAGGGGGGCATCGGTGGGCGCAACGGTTTAGGCGCTCATCACTGTAAGCTAAAGATCCCGGGTTCGAATCCAGCGGCCCTGCATTCGAACCCTACATACTTACAAATGGGCTTTTTTGTTCAAAAACACCGCATCCCCGAAGGTTGAATAAGATCTCTGCTGTTGCAAACCCAGGTAGATGCAATTATAGAATTTACATCTGATTCAGTTTCAAATTTCTTTCAGTCATTGCTTCTTACCGGTATAAAGGGACAATTATTTATCATTTTGTGATTTATCTTCTTTCATAAAGACAAAGAAGGGGAGCAATGAATAATATCAATAAAATAAGAATTAGGCGGTGTCTGACAGGCTGTTCACCTTCCGTCTAATAATCAGATTTCTAATTTTACAAACACCACTTCCTTAAATAGTAAATATATACGTCACCAAAGAGTATTGCTAATGTATTGTCTTATATTATCAGCCTACTTTTTGCAGTATATAAATTAATGATTTAATTGAATATCCCTGGAGGTATGTGAGTCGTTAGCATATGGGAATCGCCGAATTTGACATGTACATTCATTCAATTTATTTTCAAATCTCTTTCCGCCTTAGACCGTATGGACTAATAATTTATCGTATTCTAGCAGAAGAGCTCAAGTTGAGATGAGAATTCGTTGGTTTAGATAAGAAATAGGTACTCTCCTCTACCTTCTAAGGCAGGGCAAGACGACAATGTTGAGTATAACAGTGCCATCTCTTTCAGATTAATTTTGCATTAAAAATAAGTATTTAAAACTGAGAGGTAAGAATTGTCTCTCTTGTTTTTGTGATAAGGGCAAAGAGTGGGCGCAATGAGTAATATCAATATTGTACGAATGAAGCTGGGTCTGACAGGTTGTTCTCTCTCCTTCCTCTTTCCGATAATCATTTCTACTATCAATTTAATGAAATTATTATTTCGGTGATATGAGAAGTGTAGAAGTGGTCTTCGGTCTTTGGTAATTGGTATAGGCGAGGTTGATTGGAAGGACCTCGGTGTGTTTGTGTGTGTTTTATTTAACCCCCTCCCACCTGAGGGCTAGTTAAACTTATCATTGGGAAAGGAAACAAAAATCACGCGTCCCGTAAGGGTTTGTCAAGGCGGTAAAAATCTTTATTCCGTTCTGGGGGTGGGAGGTTCGGGACGCCAATGAGGGTGCGAGTTGAGCGCAGTATCACTCACGCTCCGCCCCATTCCGCCCACTACACTCTTTTCTATAAAGCCGTTATTGAATTAAAGGCTATCATTTGATTTCCACACTACAGTCTGGAAGGACGCTAAATATTTCTAATTTCAATTCGGAGTGTAGTTTATTTCGGTCTGAGTGTAAGTGGGATGGACTACTCGTACCTAAACCAAGCGGCGGCTGCGGCGGCGGCAGCCGGTTTCGACGGCTCTTCTTGCAGTTTGAGCGGCGGCGGTGCAGGGATGGAAGCACCTCCGTTGGGCACTTGTTCCTACCCGGATATCGGCTCCTGCAGCCAAATGTCATACAGGTACACCATGGGACGTAGCTATAACTCGACCACCACCGGCATGTCCGCCCTCGGCCCGGCATCCCAATGTCCACCAGTTATGCCGAGGAGTCATCAGGATCACAGAGCGCCCATATTTCCTACTACAATGAATTTACAAGGTGAATCTTTTAACCACCGACCGCGATAAGCGACTCGACGTCTTCTCTTATCGCGAGATGCGTTTTATTAACCCTCATGTCGCTTATTCGATCACTTTGCTCCCAGTTTATCCACCCTTGAACGATTCAGCTGCAAACACAACAAAAAGACGTTTTTCCTAATTGCATTTGCTCATTTACCCTTTAGGCGAACGACATCCGGGAAATTAATACCTGGGGTTGTAGAGGATTTTGGTGAACCGCGTTGTGGTAAACCCAATGTTCCTTAAATTATTCACAACTCCCTTTGAACTGACTGCTACAATCAAATCTATGAGGGCATCCCTTTCTATGTACGCTCCGCTGCATGCCGTTACCGCCACGTGAATACAAAACTCATAAGATTATTTTTGAGAATAATTAGTCGTTTTTTTAGTAAAAATTAAAGTTTGTAATGTACAAGCAAGAAAATAATTCGGACAGTTTTCGTTCCCTATTGTATACAGTTCTTCTTCACTGTGGTTAAGCCGAAACAGTTTAACACAATAACATCCTTGATATTGCAAAGTAAAACACTGAGGCAAGGATCTGTTTTGTTAAATCTTGTTTATTTTTAGTTAATAGTTGTATTTTTTTCTCTTTCCGATCGTGGTTTCAGAGATAATTCCAATTTAAACTTAATAATCAACCAGGTTTTGACTAAAATTATGAGTGGACCGAACTCCAAATTCATTCTATTGAAAAGACTAAGATTGAAAGTAAAATTATTAAATTATTTACTAAATATTATTATTTATTCTGTTTATTGAACATATTATTATTTGTAAATTATTAAAAAGTCTAACAATAAGACGAACGAACGACCGAATAAAATAAGTTTTGATATCAAAATCAAATACTTTTTTAATTATTTATTTTTTATTAGTAACGAAATTTTGATTTTGTTGGATGGAAGAAGAAAATTTTTTACGCTTTAAATATTTATATGCCGCTGAACATTCGTAAATGAATAAATCGGATTTAATCATGATTAAACGCTAAATAACCATTAAATAACTATATGCCCCAAATACAGTTGCAATTCGACATGCGGTTTATTTTCAAATAAACAGACTTCAAAAGAGTTCTCAAAATGACTGAATTCGAGATGAAATCTATCGATGTTTATTAACTATTATTGAAATTGCATCTCTTTTTTATAGAAATTTTCGCTTTCCTTTTCTGCTCGGTCGGTTTTATGGCGTTCTTTTCCAAACCCTGATTAAACATGGTTTCAGATGAGCAGATCATGCTTGAATTTCTTAATTCGGTTTAATGTATTTCATCAGGCTCCACTTTTTTTATATGCAAAAAAATAACAATACTAGGATTATTACTTATAATGATTGAACTACTTAAACCTTTACTTAAAATGACCCATTTTAACTGTAGTTGTATAATTTTGGCTATAGCACTGCAATAATACGAGGGACGGAGGTTAAATATATATAAGTATACACATATATATCCTAAATTGTAACCCTAATGTGCTAAACAAGCTACGAAGTTAATTAATTACAAACATCAACAATAAAAATATTTTGCACGTTGCCTATTACGGGAATGTTTTGCCTTTTCTGTTAAATTGTGTGGCGTTAATTCAATCAGCCGGATAACAATTATTTCCTGTGTGTTTCTTGATGTAATCCCATCGGGATTCAACTGATTGTAACGCCGTTTTCACTATTTTAAGTCCGTTCGAAGGAGGAGATCCAATTGCCCTCTTTAACTTTGGACGTATTCAGTTTGTCTCGTAAATGAGAGAAATAATCAAATTTCGAGGTTTAATAAAATTCGACGGGGACTTTGACATGTGTATTACATATAAGCACCCATTTTAAAATTATCAAAAATAACTTTTTCTTTCGTTTTCTATACTTACAAAGTGTTTATGTTCACGCTGTCTAAGTTTAACAAAAAACTTACACTACAACTGACTACTTTTACTTTAATTTATATAAAATCTAATAATTAGAGAGCCGAAAAACTATGATCGCAAAAGCAATTGATTCACAATTTTAGCAAAAATGTTTTTCTTAAACTCCGTACAAACATTAAACGATTTTATAGTACTACAAATCAAGTAAAAATAATTGATTAATAGAAAAACCACTGTAAAACAAATAAGAAAGAATTTGTTATACGAACTGACAAAACAATCTTTGCAAAATAATTTTTTTAATCCTTTGTCACTACTGGCTTTATCGTCTATCTTCTAATAATCAATTTTATAAAATGCATGCCATAAACATTCACATATATGTCCTAGGATTCATACTCGAGTAAAGTGTAGTGCACGATTAGAAATGGGATTGATGAAAGAACAACTTATCAGACATAACTTCGTTCTTATATTATTGATAGCACTCATTGCGCCCCCTCTATGTAGATTTTATTATTATTATTTTTACATATTTACTGTTAATTCTGTACTGGCATTTGGAAATTAATCTGAATAGCAAGAAAAAATTGTTATGCTCAAACTATCGACTTGTCAGTTTTTCCGGTGAGTTTACCTTTTCCTTTTCTAAATGACGAATTCATATTAACTATAATAGGTGTCCAAATCGTATGATAAATTAGCTCAAAAAAATAATCATTTTTCAATTAGTGCATAGTATTTTTAGTTAAATCGTTAATTTGTGGTTTTAAAAAACAAAATAAAAAGCACTATTATTTAATTTATTCAAGAGTGTAAACCAACTTTTGGTAATATACTCTATTATTAATATTTAATAGGCTATTGGTTTAATAATATTACCTAATATCGATGTGATATAGTAATATCATTTTGCACAAGTTCAAATCACACACAAATAAAATAAAACATGAAAACTAATTAATTGAAAATTTTATTTTTTCCTCCTCAATTTGTATTTTTTAAATTTTGCATACTATTCTGGGGTGAAGTTAAAAAATAGAATATTCGAAGGATTTTTATTATACCGTTCAATGCGATCAGTGATCAATATTAAGCTTTTTCCAAAGGCAAAAGAGCATGTCTATTTATTATTTATGGAGGAATAATCTCTTGAAACCTCAATTTTAGTGTGTATATTTCCAAAAAAAAATCGCCTCCCCGTGAAAACTCAATTCTTTAATATTTACAATTATTTTCGGACCACAATTTTATTAAGACTTCTTTTTATATAAGCGCTTGTAATTTTCACTTTTTTAGTCTCAAGTTTTATTTACGTGATTGTAATAATTAATATCATGATTTTCTGGTTTCTGTGTTAATAATTAAATGGTTTTGTAAACACTTATAATATAATAATATATAAGTACATAGATTAGAAAAATCTACTTTTTGTTAAACAAAAAACAAAACAATTCCAGTTTTACAATCGTTCTACTCAATATTGATATTTATTTATTTGCTTCTTATTATCTGATAGCTTGACTAGTTAAAAAAAGGCTTTTTTAGTACATTCAAAATTTAATCTATAAATTCTGTCTTTTCTGAAGAGGAGGGATATAAATAGATCAAATAAATAATAGAGGGAAACTAGGAATCAGCCATAAAACCTGTAGCTGACAAATGGAAATGCTATGATTCTCGACAACAGACTTCACATCTCCCCGGGGAAGAAAACAAACATTTCTAAGTATGTTAGGTTCGAATGCAGGGCCGCTGGATTCGAACCTAGGAACCTTGCGGTGATGAACGCCCTGTCAACGCCTTAACCGGCCACCGTCGCCTTTGCTATGAATTAATAAAACCGTTATATTTTCACTATTAAGAAATTTTACTGATATGAAATTTGATAAAGAGTGTCTATTTGACTCTTCTAAAAATGAATGTCTTCAATGGTTTTTAGGCCTGAGAGGATGAAGATTTATCCCAGTTTAAAATGTAAATTCTGTTAATAGAATTTGACATTAATTTCAGGAGATTCGTGCATTTTGTCTAAACTCGCTTCACTTTGAAAAAGAAACCTGTCCAAAAAAATCTATAGTCCAACTTATAACTATTACCAAGAAGTATATAATACAAAAGATGATTTAATTTGTGATTTGAATCTTGCCAAATAATTAATTTCAGAATATCGGGCAATTGTTTAATTAAAAGCCAAGAGATTCGCATTGTTACGTATAATACAAAGGTGTTTTTTTAGAGCTAGACTAAGCCTACCTGAGTACAAAGCGGAAAATCGCTAACTATAGACTGGGCGGTGTTAAATTTTTATGGGAAATGAATTTAAAATATAAACTCACTGAGAGTTAAAACAATTGAACGTTTTACTAAAACGAACTAAAAACTGGATAACAATAAATAAATCTTGGGCGGGCAGAAAAGTTTTGTAATTGACCTAACTCTGTTGGTCCGCTCATCAAACGCCAAATTTAACAATTATTCGTGACTTATTAGCTGATCCGTTATAAATATTTTAGTAAAATCAAGGTTTAGACTACAAATTAGCTTTTTAGATCATTAAAATCATAGAAATAGAGCTTTATTATTTCTCATTTGATAAGATATATTTTATAGATGATTTTTTAATTTTTTTGGCCCTTGAACATAGTTGGTTCTAAAGGGAATTACAGCTTTCCGACGTTTTGGCATCCTGTGCCATTCTCTACAAACTATTTTATTTCTTTACCATATTTTTTATTATGATTATTTACTATTTATTATTTTATTTTAGAAAAATAAAGTAGTTTCTCCAGAATGGCACAGGATGCGGAAACGGCGGAAGAGTGTAATTTCGTTTAGAACCACCTTCAACACAAAGGCATAAAAAATGGTCATATTTAAAAAGAAAAAGGAAACAACTAAGAAAAGATCTATTTTTTATATTTAAATAAACGAAGATTCTTTCGTTCATTCATTCAAATTAGATTTGTTCCGCTTTTGTAACGGTGGGGTATGTGAAAATTTCAACGTAAAAATTGGCAATTAAGCACAAACTAGTGACGCAAATCGAGAAAAATCTTTCAATTAAAAATCAAGAGTTTCACAATTTTATGTGTAATACCAT